CTTTTATTCTGACTCTCACTGTTTAACAATCCATTGTAAGATTTTTTGTTTATCACAAAGTCATTTAGTTAAAGTGATGTTTCAGGAATGCTTTGTGGAAAACTGCAAGTTGAATATTTTCCCTAACCAATAATGGACTCAGATATGCAGTTTTCCTGATATCCACTCTTAAACATGTGCCCGGTGCTCAGAATACAGTTATGTTTTCTTAGAAGTGGAAAGAAATCTGGATTGAGCAGAAGTTTAATAATTCAGATACATTACTGGATTGTTTTTTAAAAAATTTTTACTCGAGTATATGTAAAGTGTTATACAACCCAGTAGGGAATACAGTAGTGATAGTTCCTGGTCTATTTAAATTCAATATTGTATGTTGAAATTAGAAACTAAAGAAGCTACTTAAAACAATTATTTTTCAGTTTGAATAATTGGAAATTTTAACTATATAGATTATTGTGTGTGTGTGTGTGTGTGTGTGTGGTTTGAATTTAAAAATATGCCTTGTCTAGATATTAGAAGCTTTGTATTTTGTCTAGTGTTGCAATAGGTTTTTTTAGTCATGCTATACACTTTGTTTGATTTGAAAATTGAGTCAATTCACTCCTGGGATTATCTGGGTTATAGAAATGCTTTATCATGTCCTTTTCAAAATTTCAGATTTTTTTTTCTTATAGTTGTGTGGTAAATTCTGATTTTATGTTAACTTGAGCAGAACACAGTTAAGAATGCCAGAAATACTAGGTCATAAAAGCAAATAAAGTTAATAGATCTATAGCATTTATAAATGCTTTTTAAAATTTCATTTGATAATGTAGGCATTTTTAAGTTCTCATTCTATTGAAAAAAGAATTCAGACTGGAAATAAGTAGTAAACCCAAGATTATTCTGCAGATAGGTATATGATAACATAGACCAGGAGTGGGCAACCCCTGGCACGCGTGCAAACATGGCACGCCAGTAACTTTTGCTGGCACGCGAAACCCTCTCTTATAATCTTCCATTTACAATTTTTGTGAACATTTGAATGACTTAAATGTTAAATTACAAGGAACTGGCAAGACACTTGATGTTATGTTTGGTTACATAAAGTCTTTTGAAAAGAAACTGGAAATCTTTAAGAGGGATGTGGATGGTGAGAGATTTAGATATTTTCCAAACCTCAAGAGGCACATCAAAGACCTCCCAAAAGATGACAGAACAGACTGTCAAAGCCTTCAAAAGCTGTTTTTAAACATCATAGAGTCAACTATTGAGCAGTCCTTCTCAAGATTGGCAAAATTCAGAGAACTGGAAGAGACAGCACAATTCATGAGGTTTCCAGACAGCATGAAACTGGAGGAACTAAACTTACAAATGTTTTCATGGATAGACATGGCTGGCTTTGCAAAGCAGTCTCGTAATCAGAATAGCCTGACGGATGAAAGTAGTAGCTCGTGTATATCTCTGATGTAAAATCTCTGTCATCAGTGATGCAGCAGCAAAAGTCCCACTGATAATATCAAACGGAGTCATAAAGTTTTCTGTTGGACTGTCAGTGTACATGTATACATTAAAAAATAAATGTATTTTTCATCATCATATACTGTGTTTTTGTCGCTCAAATGAATTTTATTTCTTTAAGGTTCTTCACATACATACACCTTAAGAGATATCAAGTAGGCATAACATGTTCTCAAAAAATTAGCGTTGGCACGCAGAAGAATTTTTGAGTCAGAGATTTTGCTGGTTTTGGCACACATTCACAAAAAGGTTGCCCACCCCTGGCATAGCCTTTAAGACTGATGGAATTTTTGTGCCTTTTCCCCCTACTATGTTTGAGTTAACCATCTCCCTGATACTTCTCACAAATGATTGGCCTGATTATGAAAAAAAAAAGTAAAATTTTTCACTAAAGAAATATATTAAATAATTTATTTTTGAAATATTACAGTGCTCTAGTATATTTATATTTCATATCCCAAACCTTGTTAATCCTAATTATTACATAAAATTCTTTTATTTTGATGTATACAGTTAATGCTAGTGTGTTTTCATACTTGCCCAATACAACTTCTGTGTACATATGAAAAATCACTCAGATATTGCTTACAATTAAAACAGTAAAATTAAACTAAGTAAACATTAGATTAAATGTTTAAGTGACCAGATATGTTAATTATCCACAACAATGAATGGATATAGAGAGTAGCCCTGTCTACTTTAAGCTATTGGTAAAATAACAGTCATAGATTGTGAAAGGCCTTTTTTTGTTGACCAGGAACAATGATTTAGTATTTCCTGTAATTGGCTTACTCTTTCAGTCTGATTTTTAACTAGTTCTGACACCTAGTGGTCAGGTATTGGTTCTATAGTTTTTAGGTTTGGGTTTTTATTTACCTGACATACCTGCTTTTCTCTAGTATAGTGCTCATTGTAATAAAACTTTCTGCAACTGGGTGGCAGTATTGATTTCAGAGAAACTTCATAAAAATACTATGGGTTTATGTGCAGTCATTTGAACAAGAATTCAAATTTAAAATCTATTTAACAAAATAGTAAATATGGTGAAGTAATAGTGAAAAATTGAATCTATTAAATCATCTAACTCATCTTTATAGCCATTCTAACTTTATTTTATTTTTCTGTAGTGTTTAAACCTAACATGATGAATTAAAATGCCACATTTATTAGCTTATGGCTACAGTATAGTTTTAAAAATTAGTCATTAACAATTATGTATCAAACGTAAGAGTGGCTTCTTTCTGATAGTTTTGTAGTAAAAGAATTTAATGTCTTTTAAAACTTGGTAAATATATAAGAAAAGGTGTAATGTGTCTTACCTCTTGCCATTTTAAGACAACATGCATACATTTTTAATTGATTAAAAAGTTGACTTTTGATAGCTTTTTTCTGTATTTTTATCAGTTGTATTTTTCAGCAATATTTAAAAAATTTTGTCTCTAATAAGTCATTTTTTTAATTTTTCTCTGGCTCACAAAGAGAATTTCTGTTTCTTTTAACTTATCCCCCTAGTATTTATGGCTTTATCAATACAGCATAGCAATCGGTATTGACTCACTGGTATGAAATTGCAATAAGGACTATATAAAAGATTTTACATATTTTGTTGTATTAGTAATCTGAAATTTTTTAAATCATATGGGAAAGACAAAGTATTACTTATTTTTCCTGAAAATACAATATTAGAAACTAATGGTTAATTTAAATAAATTATTTTTTAAGTTTAGCTGTGAAAACCTCCAGGTAGAGAGGAAAATATTTTATTTTTCTTGTTCTGGTTTGTTTAATTATATTTTTTCCTACAATGTAAAAAGAATATTGACAATATTATGTCAGATTGGTCTTGATAGGTTAGAGTCTGTTAACTACCTCTTTAATCAGGTTTGCCCTCAAACTATCTCAGTAATGCTGTAGAATTCCAAAATCTGTTGTGTTTCTATGCACTAAATAAACTATCAGAAAGAGAAATAAAGAAAACAGCCCTATTTTCAGTTCCATCAAAAAGAGTAAGATATCTAGGAATCAGTTTAACCAAGGAGGTGAAATACCAGTACACTGAAAACTGTAAGACATTAATAAAAGAAATTGAAGAAGATACAATTATGTGAAAAGCTATTCCATGCTCATAGATTGGAAGAATTAATATTCTTATCATGTTTATACTACCCAAAGCAAACTACAGATTTAATACAGTCTGTATCAAAATTCCAATGGCATTTTTCACAGAAATATAACAAAATATCCTAAAGTTTCTATGGGACCACAAAAGACCCCAAGTAGCCAAACCAGTCTTTAGAAAGGAAAACAAAGTGGGAGGCATCACTCTCCCTGATTTCAAACTGTATTACAGAACTGTAGTAATCAAAACAGTATTGCATTGGCACATAAATCAGAGGAGCAGAGTAGAGCCCAGAAATAAACCCACATATATATGGTCAATAATTTACGACAAAGAATCCAGGGATGTAATGGGAAAGGATAATATCAATAAATGGTGCCGGAAAAACTGGATCACTATCTTACCATCCACAAAAATTAACTCAAATTGGAGTAAAGACTTCAATGTAAGACCTGAAATCACCAAACTCCTAGAAAGAAAACTGGTAAACTCCTTAATATAAGTTTTGGTAATGATTTTTTGGCTCTGACACTAAAAGCAAAGGCAACAAAAGCAAAAATAAACAAATGGGACTATATCAAATTTAAAAGCTTCTGAGCTACAAAGGAAACCATAAAAAAAAAGAAAAAGCAACATATAGAAAACACAATATATAAAGAACTCATATAAATCAGTAGCTAAAAAATAAAAGGGCAGAATGTCTGAATAAACATTTTTCCAAAGAAGATGTACAGATGGCCAATAGGTACATGAAAACATTACTCATCAGGAAAATGCAAATCAAAACATTGAGATATCACCTCATACCTGTTAAAATGCTAATATAAAAAAGATAAGAAATAACAAATATTAGTAAGGATGTGGAGAAAGGCAACCATTGTTCACTGTTGGTGGGATGTAAATTGGTACAGCCACCATGAAAACAGTATGGAGGTTCCTCAGAAAATTAAAAATAAAAAGATAATACGATCCAGCAATTCCACTTCTGGCTGTTTATCTGGAAAAAAACACGAAAATACAGCCAATCCACTTGTACTTATTCCTGTGCCTCCCTGTTCCTTCATATAAAAAATTGGGAACATGGCATCAACTTATTTTTCTATCAAATCAAGGAGAATACATGAGTGAAAGTACCTGCCAGTAAATACTAGTAAGCACATTTCACAAAATGAATATAGCTTGATGACTGCGATAGCACTGGAGGACGAAAGGAGACTGTTAATAGAAGGGACGAGGGAAATCAGAGCAACCATTTTTGTGGATGAACTGATGGAGGCTTCCAAGGATTCATCTAGTATCAAGATTATATGTCTCATGGATCTAACTTTAAAATAAGAGATGTGTTGGGTTACTGATAATGTCTCTCTGTTTTTCTCTTTAGGACACTTGCAGAGAGCTACAATGGAAAAGTCCTGGATGCTGTGGAACTTTGTTGAAAGATGGCTAATAACCTTGGCCTCCTGGTCTTGGGCGCTCTGCCGTATTTCTCTCTTACCTTTAATAGTGACTTTTCATCTGTATGGAGGCATTATCTTACTTTTGTTAATATTCATATCAATAGCAGGTATTCTATATAAATTCCAGGATGTATTGCTCTATTTTCCCGAACAGCCATCTTCCTCACGCCTTTATGTTCCCATGCCCACTGGTATTCCACATGAAAACATTTTTATCAGAACCAAAGATGGAGTGCGTCTGAATCTTATTTTGGTAAGATATACTGGAGACAATTCACCCTATTCTCCAACCATAATTTATTTTCACGGGAATGCAGGCAACATAGGTCACAGGTTACCAAATGCATTGCTTATGTTGGTTAACCTCAAAGTTAATCTTCTGCTTGTTGATTATCGAGGATACGGGAAAAGTGATGGAGAAGCAAGTGAAGAAGGACTCTACTTAGATTCTGAAGCTGTGCTAGACTATGTGATGACTAGACCTGACCTTGACAAAACAAAAATTTTTCTTTTTGGTCGTTCCTTGGGAGGAGCAGTGGCTATTCATTTGGCTTCTGAAAATTCACATAGGATTTCAGCCATTATGGTGGAGAACACATTTTTAAGCATACCACATATGGCCAGGACTTTATTTTCATTCTTTCCAATGCGTTACCTTCCTTTATGGTGCTACAAAAATAAATTTTTGTCCTACAGAAAAATTTCTCAGTGCAGAATGCCTTCTCTTTTCATCTCTGGACTCTCTGACCAATTAATTCCACCAGTAATGATGAAGCAGCTTTATGAACTCTCCCCATCTCGGACTAAGAGATTAGCCATTTTTCCTGATGGAACTCATAATGACACATGGCAATGCCAGGGTTACTTCACTAGCCTTGAACAGTTCATCAAAGAAGTAATAAAGAGTCATTCTCCTGAAGAAATGGCAAAAACTTCATCTAATGTGACAATTATATAATGTTTTTTTATTGCACTGTATTTTAGTTTGTGCAGAATGATAAAGAATGTTCCTTTCTAGAGTGTGTTCTATCTGTACTTGTCTGAAGAGTGACATTAAATGTTGAAAGGACTTTAGTGCTCTTTAAAGATGATCCAAATAGTTTTTTACATTTGAAAAACTATAATTGTTGGGATTATTTCATACATTTTCATCAAACCTTTCAATGTGTTTATGTGTCTGTATCTTTAGTTTAATATGCTAGTAGAATATATTCAAAAGTTTCTTGTTGCTAAAGTGGTACACTCTATATGATACTTAAGGTTAATGTCTGGGTGTGGAAGGGGAGATACAGACGAGAAACCTTCGGATATTATTCCTTTAGTAAATATTGGGACAATCATGGTATACAAGCTTAGTTCTATAACTGCATTTTTCACCTTAAAATGCATGATGATATTTTATTTCTTGAATTATGCAATGCAATGTTTTTAATGTAAATAGCACTGGTCATATACCAATGTATATGGTAACCTGGGTTATATCTATTTTTATGTAAACTATTTTGGTTTTGGCAAGAAGTGAAATTGAGGCCTGTGTGCAGGTTGCTATTGAATTTTGCTCTGGCGTATGCTGAGATTCAGCTTTTTCTTACAAATAAATGGGACCCCACTTTCCAACAAAAATGTACTGTGTTTTGTTAGGTACAGTCTGGATCATAGCATGCAAAAATAGAAATTTAGAATTTCACTGCAGCTTCAATGTGCATCTTTGAACTTTTTTACATTTGTAGTTTTGGTGGCAAAGAGAATTTTACTTTTTATCAATTTCATAAGTCTACAGGTAAACCACCAATGGCAGTCATAATGAAGATAACTTGTTTAAGAATTGAAGTAGGAACTCTTATTATGTAATTGTACATACTGTTTTACAGAAGTTCCCTCATTTGATTTTTAAGTCCCAGTATCTAGGTATATCTACCCACTAAAGCCAAGGTGTCATTTATTGGACTTTCTGAAAATAAACACAACAAAAACAAAAAAGCTATGTTCTTTGGTTTAATATTTTAGTTATAAAATAGAACTGCAACAAAAGACAATTTTAGGAAGTATTATTTTCTACATGTAGGAATGAGGGGATGAAGGAATGCTACAGCTTTTTATCACAGAACATATTATCCCATTTAACTATTAAATGGCTATCAGTGGGAAGTAGTATTTAGTCATATAGAAATGTATGAAAAAATCTTTTAAAAAAGCTCCTTAAAATTGCAGGATTTACCTTAAATATATATATACATATATATAAGCTTTGAGACATAAGTGTACTAAGTTGTGTCAAGCAATCCTCAAAAATTAGATGTATTTGAGCTCTGTGCATTATGTCAGCTTTAAATGTAATATTTTGAATATTTTGGCTATATTTATTGGCTTTGTGCAAGCAGTAGAACAGAAATAATGGGTCAATAGTTTTGACCTTAATTTAAAAACTCTTTCTATGGAGATAGGGCTAGAAATACTTTTGCCAAATAACATTCGTCTCATTCACTTTATGTCAATATTTAGAAAACAATAAATTACAGCAAATATGATGTTTTTCTATAAATTATTGTAAAAAAAGTCATGCTTTTAAAAACAAATTTGGTAATGCATATCATGGAAAGTGTATTTTGTATGTATAATTTCACGACAATTAAAGGATACTTTTCATCTTGTCAATCATTGCTATGTAGAATGACTGTCTTAAATAGTAATGTACTAAAGGGAAAAAACTTAATACAACAAGATCTAGTGTACTTAGACATGAGCTTACCTGAAAAACCTTAGACTCGTATCATTCTTTAAAGTTTATAAAGTACCTTCGTACGTTTTCATGTAATCATTTAATCTACACTATGAAGGAATTTATCAAATTTAGTTGTAAGTATTATGCTGATGAAGCCTAAAAGCTGTTTCTTCATCAGTGTTTTGTTTTATGCTTTTTAAAATACTCCATGTTTATAAACAGTCTTTTTTTTTTTCTTTTTAAGTCAGGACTTCAAAAGTTGTGAAGTACATGTATCCCATCCCTACCTTCATTCTCTTTGGGTTAAGGAGCCTTTCTTCCTGCAGCAAAGGGAAGAGGCTGTTTCTAGGGTTGTAGTACCTAATTTCTGTATTTGAGAATATTTCTTTAGATAGGGAGAAATAGAAAACAAAATCAGTTCTTCAAAACGTGTCTAATTTTTGGCCAAAGCATTTGGTGTTAATAAAATGTGAATTCTGAATGAGTCACTTCATTTTGGATTCATAGGTTTAGTGGGAATAGAGTGTGTCCATCTTGTGTATTAATTTCTGGCTCACTTATCCAAGAGCAGCCCTGGGAGTTTCTGAATGAATTTTAAGTTATTAAGCTGTGGTGAATTTGGAAATATTTAAACATGGCAAGATATAATTTATTTAGATCAAAATCCATTGATTTAAAAGGGATTATTGGGGAGAAATGGCAAAAGGGTTCCTAAAAGGGATATTGCAAAATATGGAAAAATAATTTGTAGAAGATAAAAGAATACTAATAGGAAGAGCAACAAAGTGAAAGGTTGTGTGTTAAATGTAGGTCTAGGAAATAACTGGTGAGATTGGTGAAATGGAAACATAACAATGCAAAACAGTTAAATACCAGACATTTCTAACCAAGTGACTGGAGCACCTAATACTGCCACTACCCTATATTTTTGCAAGCACTTTGATTGTAAGGTAGATATTTTCATTACAATTTCGAATTTTTAAAAAATACATTTTTATTGATTTTCAGAGAGGAAGGTAGAGGGAGAGAGAGAGAGAAACAGCAATGATGAGCGGGAATCATTGATCGGCTGCCTCCTGCACGCCCCACATGGGAGTGAGCCCGCAACCCCGGGCGTGTGCCTTGACCGGGAATCGAACCGTGACCTGGTTCATAGGTTGATGCTCAACCACTGAGCCACCATGGCTGAGCTACAATTCTGAATTTTGTAGCTGAATAGGACAGCTTAAATTTACTTTTTCATGATAGGCTCTAGTCTAGACACATGATAATTACCAAAGTTCCAGCTTTGGTAATGTGTCACTGAATTAATTATGTTGTAATATTTCTTAATGAGAATTCATACCACCTCATGCTTTCATATTCATTTCTTAAGTTTGAAAGATTTGGTTTGAGGTGGGAATAGACTTGTTGATGGAATTAAAGAGTGAAGGCCATATTCAATTTTATATGTTATTTTTGCAAGCTCAGTTTAAGTGTAGAAGTGTAGTTTTTATTTAGTTCCTTGTTTTCTTGAGAGATTAGGAGTAAATAGATAAACTTTTTAAAAGGATATCACAGAAGACACTTTTTAAATTAGGTCATGGTTGAGATATACTGAAATCCTTCACTAACCTCTCCCTCTCTGTTTCTCCTATTATGTTTGACAACAATTATGGATTTAAAAATTTTTTTTAAAAATTAGATGCTTTTGGATTATCCACTTAAATTTATGTATTTCCATATCACTCAGGTAAAGTTGAAAATGACAGAGCACAGACATTTATTTTTTAAATAATAGGCTAGAAAAAGTATTCCTGTTTATTTATATTACTATATATATATGTCATCTTAGCTAATTAAAAATAATATATTCACTTGTGTTGGAAAAAAAATGCATTCATCCAAATAGTAGTCAACATGTTTTTACCAAATGGCACAAATATACTTCCATTTATATTTTGTATCTTAAAAATGTAGTTTAAAAGAAAGACGTAAGAGACACTTTTTTAACAAAAAGTACCATATATTCATATGAAACGGAGGAGTGTGTATTAAGTTAGTTTATAATATTTTGTCAGTACAGCATATACTTAAAATTCAAGTTGCTTTCAACCTGTTCAAGATAAAATAATTTAATCCAATTTCATAATGTAAATCATTTTTGTTGCCATATTTTATTTGAAGTAATAAAATTTTTAGCTCAAATTTGAATGTTATGTGCTAACCATGGCAAGCCAACATTTACATTTGTTTTTTACAATAAATTTCTTTTAAAATATACTTTCTATTTTTCTGTACTGACATGCAATAAATTTATACATTAAAAGTTTGATTAATGTCTTAAAATAGTTTGTATTCGATTTTTAAAAATATTTTCTATTAACCTAAGTTATATGGTAGGGCATTAAAGTTTTCTTAATGGTTAAATAAAATTCAGAATGTATACTGAAATTAATGAATTTTTATTATAATGGTGTGGATAGAAAATAGAAGTTTATGTTCTCTTTTCTCATATTATCCTCTTGCATCCATTTAATTTAAGCTAATATTCATTATTTTCTACAAATGAGTTGCTGGTGAATGAATAGACCCCAAAACATTTGCTTAATCTAGGAGGGAATAAATGTTCTTTGTTATGTGGCCTTCGGATTTCATCAAATGTCTTTTCATGAAATTCTTAGGTCTTCATCCCACCCTCACCCCCATTAGTATTGAGTTAAAGGCTTGGGAAGATTTGCAGAAGGCCTGATATTCTTTCAACGTTTAGGGGTTTGTACCTTGCTTTCTTTGTGTGTGAGTGTGTGTATCAGTCTTCTTTTTTTTTCTTAATCCCTTTACCTTTTTCACCCAGGCCAGCACCCCCCTCCCCACCCCCACACCTCCACCTCTTCAGCTGTCAGCCTGTTCTCTATATAGAGTCTGTAGCTTCCTTTCTTAACAAGAAACTGGTATGTGAATAGTGGCATGTTAGGAAGTGTATGACAAACCTTAAATAGCCCACCTGCAAATAGAGGTGAAGAATTCATTTCCTGAAGACCCTCTTTCCATGGGTAAATCTGGTGGGAAGTAGGATCTCTCATGTACTTCCCTGAAAGATCACCAACCTAAATCCCAAGATGAAGCAGTTTATAGAACTATTTCTTATTTTCAGAAGATAATTTCACATTCCTATTTCACTCCACTTGTTGCTTTACAATCTTACATCTTAAAGTTCACAAACAATTGGATCTGGTTAGAGAATATAACTCCTATCTTATTAAGGGAAGGGAAGGAAAATACTTTTTTTTTTAATACCTGCAAGTGTGAGTCCCAAGTGTAGAATGTAATGTCAGTGAGCACTCACAACAAACCTTTTGAGTAATTTTCAGTCCCATTTTATAATAAAACTAGAGGCCCAATGCATGAAGATTTATGCAAGAGTAGGCCTTCTTTCCCCCGGCCGCTGGCACTGGCTTCCCTCTGGCACCCCAGACCTGGGCTGCTTCCCTCCGGCCGTAGCTTCATCAGGAAGGATGTCCAGAAGGATGTTGGTCTAATTAGCATATTATCCATTTATTACTATAGAAGGCTCCAAGTGGTTCAGTAACATGCTCAAGATTACCCAGAATGGAGCCATATTTTGAATCTGTCTCCGGTTCTATATACACTGAGTGGCCAGATTATTATGACCACCTGACGTTTGTAGGCTAGGGAGGGCAGTTGGGGGCAACCAGAGTGGCAGGGGAGGGCAGTTGGGGGCGACCAGGGCAGCAGGGGAGGGCAGTTGGGAGCAATTGGGCCAGCAGGGGAGCAGTTAGGCATCGATCAGGCTGGCAGGGGAGTCTTAGGGGGTGATCAGGAAGGCAGGCAGGTGAGCGGTTGGGAGCCAGCAGTCCAGATTGTGAGAGGGATGTCCACATGTAGGAATTTAGGATCAGGCCTAAACCGGCAGGCGGACATCCCCCAAGGGGTCCCAGGTTGGAGAGGGTGCAGGCTGGGCTGAGGGACACTCCCTTCCCCCAGTGCACAAATTTTTTAGGCAAATTAGAGGTGGTCATAATAATATGGCCACTCAGTGTACATTGTCTCAAACAGTTTGACAGTTCTTATTCATACGGTAATAGATTTAAGATGTTGAAATTGAATTAAAAGTAGACCAGTTCTTCAGGAACACTCCTAACAAGTGGACTATGAATAAAAACATTAGAATTGGACACAATCAACTAATTCTTTTCAGAGTAAATATATGTTCCTGTAGGAAAATCTATAAGTTAATAGGACTTCTCTTATACACTTTCCTTAGCCTTTTATAGATAACCAAGTCTCAAAAAATCTGGGAGTCATCTTCCTCATAAAATGAACATACTTTTGAAACTGATTATGCTATTTCTTTTTCCAGTGTGATTTATTTTCCCAACCTTTCTACTACTATCATGGCAGTCCCTGAAATTATTTTATAATAGCTAACATTTTTATTGAGTGCTTGTAATGTGCCAACTATTGTTCTGACTTCTTTTTGTCATTCTTGATAACTGAATAGGCTGAACTGGTTTCTAGCTTCACTGATCCCACTCCTTGATCTTTGTCCTGTTCTAATTTGCCAGAAAAACTTCATGCCTTTTCCTACTGAAGGGCATTTAGTAACTGCATTTCTCATTAGATCAAAGTCAGACTTCTTGGTCGATAGAAATTAAACTTCACAAATTAAACTTGTTATAAAAGGGATCTACTTTTTCTCTTTTATGTATCAAACTCATTCCTCTTCTACTAGTATGTGTTTACTCATGCCCGGAGGTTTAACCTCTAAATCGAATAGCCTCTCACCTTACTAGACTCTTGAGTCATGACCCAAATTCATGGTAGCTCCAGCAAGTTTCTCCCCTTTCTGAATACCTATTGCCTTCACTACATTTTGTTCTTTGATCTTTGACTGTATTCTATTCAATTCCTTATTACACACTGTCTTATTTCCCTTTTGTGTGTCTTACTACTCCAGTAAACCAAGATCTGGCAGACTGTCAAGGTTCTCTTCTCCCACAGCACCTGGCATGGTGCTAAGCACCTCATAGTGCTAAATATATTTTCTGTATAGAACAGGCTCACCAATTAAAGCCTTCGTTCAAACATTTCCTTCTTTCAGAAGGAAAAAGGTGCACAAAGACAATTATTGTAATATTTTGTATTTCTTGAAGTTGGAGACCTAGAATAACAACAAACTTGGAAGGGAAATTAAACACACACAAAACCAATGATTAAAGTGGAAAGATCAGAAGTTACACATGTGATGAAATTACTGTTCAGTATTAAAGGGGGGGGGCAATAATTATTCAGGACATATGCCACTTGGGGGATCTAAACCTTAGCATATCTCAATAGAGGAGCCTTGAACTCATACCTCTGAACCGTGTCCAGCACGGCCAGGGGTGAACCTGAGGAGGGGTGGTGATGGATTAAAGAAAACAGACGAGAATACAGGTGGGGCCAGGTAGGATCACTGTGCCTGGATGAGGAAACAGTGACACAGCCTGTAAGCCCAAGCTTTATTTTATAGTCAGATCAC